GTTTACTCTGTTTGTATACTGCAATTTGGTTGTTTTACTAAGTACACCCTTATGCAGTCAAAACATAAACAAACAAAATGTGAACATAGCAGATATCCAATTCGTCACTAAATTCCCATGTTTATTGGGACACCCTGTACTAAATTGTCATAGCCACATTATCATTTTAAATTTTTAAATTAAATTACCATCATTTTCATTCTTGATGTTTATTACCATATTTTTGCAACTAAGAATCCATCCGTTGAAAGTATAGAAAACGATGAATAAAAAAAATTTTGATGCATTGCCTTATCATCATTAGGTGCCTTTTCAGTGAGTCCTATTCTGTTCTAATATATAACCTACAGTGTACAGTAACAGTATTAATTCACATTTAACGGTTTGACAAAGACGACCTAGCATAAGGGACTGTAAGTGACTCTCAACGCACAATTTCCAACAGTACTTTTAAAACGTTTGTCTGAGCAAAGACGATGAATTTGAATGGACGCTATGCTCTTGGGTAAAAGATATTTTCAATCATTTTTCCTTATAGACGCATCAGATAGAAGTAAAGTAGCGATAATAACGAATTTGCAGTTCGATATCAGCCTAAACGACCTTTCATTCTTTGGCAAACACTCCCTTTAAATATTAATATTTTAGATACAGAAATGCACAATAGTAGAAACTTGATACTATTATTTCTCCTTCTAATTTTTGGTAAGTTATTTTCAATTTCGATTTTTGACATTTGACATTTCAAATTAGAGCAGACTAGGGTAATTAACCGATCCAAACCAAAGAAACCATGCCAAACTTCTTCCCTTTGGAGAAAAGTAAATTAACCTTTAAAATATGGAAGGCTAAAGAAAATAAGACGAAATTTCAAATAGGAAGTTAACCTAAGTTCATTTCTGGCAAGACACCATTTTGAAAGACTTTAAGGGACAGTAAGCGTAATTTCAAGCGATCCTCCATCGATGGGAATTCTCAATTTACAATTGTACCCTTGACACCGTGATCAGATAAAATTTAGAAGGGCTTTTCATTTTCCATGACTCGAATAGTGTTTAATTCTGATCATTTCTCCGTTACTTATTATAGACAAGAAATGCGCAAATCACATTTGTAGAGAAAACACTAACATGAAAATAAAAATTAAAAAGAAACAAGACTTTAATTTCTAATTGATCAGACAAAGATTAAAGATAAATCGGGAATTTCCATCTTAGCATTGAGGTCACGCTTACAGTCCCTTTAAGCAAAGTGACTCTGTTGTTGTTGTTGTGTTTCTGGGAGTGTAGGATACGAATGAAGATTCTAAAATTATAAAATTAAAATATTTAGGAACAATATATTAATATAAATAACTCAGAAATTACAACAAAAAAATTGATTTAAAAAAAATTTCGTTTTGTAATTTTAGGATTCATTTTCATTTTGAAGACCTACCCTTATCTAGACCTTGGCACAAATAGACAAATAGGAAACATTTAAAATTAAACCAAATAAAATTTAAAAATAATGTATTTGATCTTTTTAAAATGGTGATAAGTTAACTTCTTGACTTTTTAGATAAAAAACTTCTTGAACAAATTGTTTGTACAAGCATGGTGTTCAAAGAAACATGACGTTGGTGAATGGTTTGAATGAATAATAAAGACTTTTTGCATTTTATTTCGTTAACACACTCTTTTACTCAAATAAATATTACTTTAAAAATAAAAAATTTTAAATCATTTTACTATAAAATGATTGCCATGTTATATTTCTTATTATTCTTTTTTGTATCACACAACTAAACAATTTATGGAAGAAGGTATTTAAAACTATTCACCAGCTGTCATGTTTCATGGGACACCCTGTACTACAGTGAACAATTAGAACAAATTTGAAAGGGGTTTTTCTTAGTTTTATGCAAGGAAAGCAGAACCTGTGGAGTAGAATGTCCTACAAACAAAAATTTTCGCAAAAAGTGCGAAGTTCGCAAAAATTTTCTTTCTTATTTTGCAAACTTTTTCGTGCAATTTTGTATTTTCTCGCAAAAATTTAATTTTGCGAAAGAAAACGAAAGCGATAAGAACTTTTGTGAAAAAAATGCGACAATTTCGCAAAAAATTTTGCATTTTTTTACGAACGAAATACAAAAACAAAATTTCACGAAAAATGCGAAATTTTCGCGAAACGATTTCCCCATTAGCTGGAAACACTATCAAGCAGAAGAGTGTTATAGTGCTGAAAGAATATTTTTTTTAATTTGTCAAAATTTTATTTTAAATCCTTTTAAAATGGTTAGAAAAAGGCACAACAAAATATATTTTGTATTATACCAAGGTAATAATTTATTTATTAAAACTTATCTTACCCGAGCTGAAAACTTTTGAATCGTGGATAATAAGATCAACGCTTGATCTCATGTTTTCATTCATATGTAGACTTATTCAATCTGACGCGTCGATAATATCCAGGACATTTCTCAACTGCAACCAATCAGAGTGTCGATTGTAGAAACAGAACAGCTAATCAGAAGCCGAAAAAAGTTAAAAATTTTGGCGCGCAAAAATGGGAGAAATCTCATTGGTCCGAACCCAGAATGCAAGGATATCTAAAAGAGAGATTTATGCAAATAATCAAAAGTTTCGTCATGTGGATACTGGATACAGAGATTTAGGGTATCCAAATACAACAGTTTTTAGCTCCGAGGTTAGACATTTTGTGTTGTTAATCACTTCGGATAGTACTAATCCTCATCTTTCATAGTTCAGTAGAACCAACTCGCTATCGTCCAATCAGAGATCGCTAAAATATAATCTGTCGATTTTAACGAACTACGCATCTTAAGTAATTTCAAGTGATCTTCCGTGCAAAGATGCCCAATTCACAACCCGGTGCCCTGCAAACCTTTTATTTGATTAATAATGTGGAAGATATTGTAATTTTTCTAGGTTTAAAAGTGATGAAGAAGATTTCAATATAATTTCCTGCAGTTCAAATGCTCGAGTTAGTTTTGTAGAGAAACCGCAAATGAAAAAAAAATCAGTTTTCAAAATTATTAACTCTGATAGGGGTACACAGTACACACAAATACACTGATAGGGGTACACAGTACACACAAATACACTGATAGGGGTACACAGTACACACAAATACACTGATAGGGGTACACAGTACACACAAATACACTGATAGGGGTACACACAAATACACTGATAGGGGTACAGAGTACACACAAATACACTGATAGGGGTACACAGTACACACAAATAACCTGAAAGAGTTGCATCAATCTTCAAGATTGATTTTATCTCACTAACTCACTTATAATTTTTGTAGCCTGACACGTTATATTAGAACTCTGGAGCACTACTTTATTAAGAATTTAAGAATTAAAGGGCAAAATTCTGATAGAGTTTTCTGTTAGAGCTTGCAACCTAATTGGATCCCTCTGGGTGTGAATCTTTGCATGGGGGGTCATTTGATATTACGATTACAATCCCTTTAAACCTCATGCAAAACTTCATGGATAATGTAATTTAAACTTTTTTATACTGTGAAAAACTCAAAAGTGGTGAAAAATAAAAAATAACATTATCTGATGCAGTTAACATTTCAGTTATTTTCTTCCGATAACTTTGGATTTGGATTTGGACAAAGTCCTTTTATTGTCAACAATTGTTCATGGAGTGATTGCTATATTACTGACAACAAGTAAGATTTATGAAGATTAGACTGCAAAGACGACCGTGTGAAATTTTTTTAGTCCTTCCTCTAACACGTTGTTTACTACACCTACCTGTGAACTTGTTTCTTGTTTCCGTTTCGATAGGTTTACAAATTTAAGGCTATTTTCATGGCATTACAATACTTCTAATTCATTCAATTACGTTTATTCAGTGAGAAACTTCAATTATATCAAATTTTTTTTCAGTAAAAAACCGGAGCGTTTTTAAAAGTGCATTCCAAAACATCTTTCGTTTAATAAAAAAAATAGTTTTTTCAAGCTCTATAAAAATCGATAAGTTTGTTCAAGTTCGTTTGAATGAACGTTTCAGAAAAATGTTCATAACGGTCTGTCTAATCTACAAAACGAACGATTAATTATTTTAAATCGTTTTTTTGAGTATTCTGGATTGTATTTGAGTATTCTGAAGTGTATTTGAGTATTCTGTAGGGTATTTGAGTATTCTGGAGTGTATTTGAGTATTCCGGAGTGTTTTTGAGTATTCTGGAGTGTAGTTGAGTATTCTGAAGTGTATTTGAGTATTCTGGAGTGTATTTGAGTATTCTGGAGTGTATTTGAGTATTCTGGAGTGTGTTTGAGTATTCTGAAGTGTATTTGAGTATTCTGGAGTGTATTTGAGTATTCTGCAGGGTATTTGAGTATTCTGGAGTGTATTTGAGTATTCCGGAGTGTTTTTGAGTATTCTGGAGTGTGTTTGAGTATTCTGCAGGGTATTTGAGTATTCTGGAGTGCATTTGAGTATTCTGCAGTGTATTTGAATATTCTGAAGTGTATTTGAGTATTCTGGAGTGTATTTGAGTATTCTGGAGTGTATTTGAGTATTCTGCAGTGTATTTGAGTATTCTGGATTGTATTTGAGTATTCTGAAGTTTATTTGAGTATTCTGGAGTGTATTTAAATATTCTGCAGTGTATTTGAGTATTCTAGAGTGTATTTGAGTATTCTGCAGGGTATTTGAGTATTCTGGAGTGTGTTTGAGTAATTTGAAGTGTATTTGAGTATTCTGCAGGGTATTTGAGTATTCTGGATTGTATTTGAGTATTCTGAAGCGTATTTGAGTATTTTGGAGTGTATTTGAGTATTCTGGAGTGTATTTGAGTATTCCGGAGTGTATTTAATTTTTCTGGAGTGTATTTGAGTATTCTGAAGTGTATTTGAGTTATCTTGGAGTCTATTTAAGTATTTTGCAGGGTATTTGAGTATTCTGGAGTGTATTTGAGAATTCTGAAGTGTATTTGAGTATTCTGGAGTGTATTTGAGTATTCTGCAGTGTATTTGAGTATTCTGGAGTGTTTTTGAGNTTTTTTTGCCCTGGCACTCATTTCAACTCAAAGTTTTTGTTGTTTTACTTTTTTTTAAAACTTAAAAATTGAACAAAATTGGTGTACCTGATGCATGAGGGGTCTTGTAACTAAGTATTATTGTTTAGATTGTTATTACCTGAAATAACAGATTTTGATATGTTAATATTCCACTCAGCAAATATTAAAGATGATCAGGTAGAAGGAGACTGTTTACATGATTCAAGGGACTCCCCACTAAAAGAGTGGAATGTCTGATTCACAACAGTAAACTTTAAACCTTTGTCAGAGCAATATTTGAATTTTTAAAACTTTAAATTGAGCGCGGGGAAATTTAAGATCACATTGTACAGTACATGCACCTAAAAGTAAATTCAACCTAAAGTCTGACCGAGTCAACCTTGTTGCACCGGCTAGTCCTATTNCTATTGTCTTTACTAAGACAGTTTTTGGGAAAAGTTTCAGAGTAACAACATATGGACATTTTAGCCTAAAACATTCATATTTACATCACTCTAAAATTTGGATTCTTTCTGATTATATAAGATATATTAAAGCTTCATTTCTAGTAAAAAATATCACACCTAAAAAAACCCAGTTTTGTAGCAAATGGCTAACTGAAAAAAAACTAGAAATGTAGCAGGCGATACAGTACAAACTGGGAGAGGAAAGGTTGACCCGGCTCGGAAATTCAAATGCACTACGGCTGCCTGTGAATGTAGTTTCCCGGTACTAATTTTTCAGCTATTAAAACAAGGATATCCTTGATCAAGTAAAGGGTACCGTTTTGAATCGAACATTCCACTTAATAAATGGAGGGTCAGTTGAGATTACGACTACTAACTCTTTAATCATAAATTACATATTATCTAGCCCCCCTCCCTCCCTTACATATCGTTCTTTAGTATTCTTATATTTTATATTAATATGTCTGAGATACGTTTTCTTAATTTCTTAAATTATCAAGAAAGACAAGTTTGCAGCTTATGCTGATGCATATTACTCGGTACTCCCCCCCTTCCACCAGGAGGGGGGGACAAATTTTGACCACCTCTGCCGGGAAAAAAAAATGAAAAACTGGAATATCAAAAGGCAATTTTTTTATTCTTTTTGATACCTTTCTCCTAAAAATTTCACTGATTTTCCCTGAAAAGTCATTTGTTTTCCCAATTTAGCAAAAAAAATTTGTTTTTAAGTTCTGAAGAAAAGATGATTTTCAAAAAGAAAGAAAGATTTTTCAAGAAAATATACAACCCTCTGCATTAAGGTAGGTGAATTCGAACTCGGCCAATGTTTATCTGGTATGCTGGAACCCCTAGCATGTCTTGCCGCGGTGCTTGGTCTAGAAATTGTACAGATCCACGAGGTATAGTAAACTTAATTATACCACATTTTTCTGGGATTGAAGGCAATATGTTTGTTGTATAATCAATTCACACCAGTACCAGAAGAATTCCTAGAATTTGATTTCTAATTTCATCGCAAAGATCCGCAATTAACTTTTACATAGATTCCACAATTGAATATCATTATTATTTAAATATAATTATATAAATATAATTCGAGTGGCCCTTTATGCTAAAGATGACAATGACCAATCCACATGATACCATCTGATTAAATACAAGAAAGATATTGTCGTTTTTCTAGATTTAAAAGTATTTAATTCTGACAATTCCTGGAGTAATAATTCAAAAGTAACTTTTGTAGAGGAACAAAAATTGAAAAAAAAGTCAAAATTATAAACATTGAAATAAACTAAATACTTGATCAGACAAAGCTTTAAAGAGAACAATTTTGTGAATCAGATATCTTTGCACCGAAATCACCCTCACACTCCCTTTGCGTGCAGGGCAGGGGGGGGGGAGGACATTGAAAGAGTTACATTCCCTTTATTTCAGCTGTTTATTAAATTCAAAACTAAACAGTTCGTTCCTAGTTTTATTCTGGGTTATTGTAAATTATTTTTCTATTATTTATAAGAGTCCTGCAGTGTACAGAAGTCCAGAACAGTTGTATGTATACTTCAGCCATGAGTCTCCTATTTATGATAATCTGAATGGATTTGAAAACCGGTATGAAAATCCACAAAAGGGACTGTTGGCAAAATTTCAAAAGGCTTTACTGTCAGATTCACAATGGAAAACCCTTAACAGATGTATCTGGTAAAGAATACCTGAAATATTCATGAGATTTTATTCAAACTGACTTCCATATTTTCGCATCAAAAAATAAACAATGGTTTTTTGTCATTATTGATCAAGTTAAAGGTTTTAACGGTACTGTTTTGAATGAAAGGTCACTTGAAATTTTATCAACAGTCCCTTGAAGACATAAATATTTAAATTGTAGTTACGATGAGTATCATGTTTTTTGGAATGTTTTTTGTTTTTGTTTTTACTCTTTAAGTTGGACTTCGCATTTTCTTTTTTTTAGGTTCCAATCATTCTTTAACTTAACAATGACTTATCGAAGAGACTCAGATTTTGTTGTGCCATATGGAGAAACAATTCGTAGAAAAAAACCTGAAGAATCTGAAGGAAAAATAAATCTAAAAGAAATGAATGCCAGCAGAATAGATGATAGAAAAATGATAGCCTGGGTAGTTTCTCACTGTCAAACAAATTCACAGAGGGAAAAATATGTGGAGGTAAACAAATAATGGATAATTTTGAAAAATGTTGACTCTTGCAAAGGGATTGAAATTCTGAAATACCTTCTATGAAAATAAATACCCCCCTGTGTTTTTTTCTCAATAACTTAAAAAAGGCTTAAATTGTCCAAACGGATGGACCAAATTGGCTGAATATTTTTACAGTGAACCCATAAGACTTTGTGGGTTGTATAAACTAAAAGAAATGCGTTTTTTTTCAAAAATCAAGATGTTCTTTTTCAAAATTAGAATATTTTTTTTTTTTCAAATTTGGGATTAATAAAAAAAATTCCATGGGCAATGCTGGGCACTTCAATATAGTAATACATATGCCAGAACAATATGAAAGGGTGTAAATATACATGATGCAAATATGATGAATATTTAGGAATTGCGAAAATGGATTCCTGTAGATCAATATGGTAAATGCTCTGAAAATGAATGTGATGATAATTGTTATGGCAATCTCGGAGCTCAGTACAAATTCTACCTTTCGTTTGAAAATTCCCTTTGCAAGGATTATATCACAGAAAAGTTCTGGAACGCTTTAGGAATAATATTTGAATTATTTCTTTAAATTAAAGTTAAAAAACTAGTTTTAGAAATTCCAGACTGTAGGAATTCCAGGACTGACAAAATTTGAAGTGACTCTTCCCCATTAATAGAATGGGAAGTCCAATTCCCATTTCTACCTTTGTCTTATCAAGAGTGGATGAAAAACCCATATCCTCTTTAATTTTAAAATTGATTATTACTTGAAGCACATGAAACTAAATACATTAGAGATTTTATGACTGAACTCAGAGTAAAGAACAGAAAAAAATAGTTTTAATTTAATTGTAACTGTAGTTCAATAAAAAAGAGTATTGTTTATGTTCAATTCTTTAAAAGGTTTAAATATAATTCACCAATATAATTCACCAAAACCATACTGCAGTCCTTCAATTATCATACAAGGAAATTTTCATCTTTCTAAACATCCCAACGAATGATTTGACAGGTTCTTTTCTTTTTTCCATCTCTTGATCTGAGTTCGTTTCCCTTTTGTCCATTTGACAGCCCCAATTTTTTTTTAAATAATCTGTTCTGTTTGTTTATTCTCTTGTGGTTTATAACAAAATTTTTTAATCAATTTTGATGGTTATTATATCGTAAGAACTGACTAGGGTCAACCCAGACCGAAATTTATTTTCATAAATGTGGAACTAGCATCTACTTTTTTACTCTACAGAGGTTTGGTCCATCACCGAATTTTAAATGATTATTTTTAATTGTGGCTTCTCAATAAGTTGGCCTGGTCATTTTTACTTCCGAAACAAAAGAGAAAATTGTCAGAATAAAGAACTTTTCAATACCATTAAATGACTATACTTTTCTTGTTTATGTTCAGGTAAGAATAAAAGGATACCGTTGTGAATCGGGCAGTGGTGTAAATAAGGTATGCGACTTCAAAGACGACTGTACGGAATTTATACAATCTGTTTCCTGAAATTAATGATTCCTGCAACTTAAAATTTTTTTCTTCTTTTCGTAATCCTTTAATAAGGCAAAAAAGGTTATATTAAAGTCTGAAAACTTAATTTAACCTTGGAATAATCAGATTTTAAGAGTTTCAGGTCGTCTTTACAGTCTCATTCTTTGTGGGCAACCATGTATAGTAAAGCCATAAATCTCTCTTAACAAATATTTTGTTATGCAGTACCATTTATTACTCTGATTGATTTCAAATGTAAAGTTGAAAAGTTTTAAACACTGTTAACCCTAAACAGAAGGGGGAAGAAGGCCCTCGCTAGGCCCACCCTCGGTTTTTTTTGCCCTGGCACTCTCATTTTTGACACTTTCACCTTGAAATGTTTTTACTTTTATATTTAAAGGGAGTGTTTGCGAAAAATGAAAGGGGGTATAGGCTTAATGCGATAAAAAAGGCTTTTGATCACTACTAATCTTACTTCTATAAGGAGAAAATTGTTAAAGACGTCTCATACCGAATAACTTTGCGGCCATACAAATTGAGAAAATTGCAACATACTACTTAGAATGTAAAAATCAATTTAATTTCAAACAAATCATTTAGATATTACAACCTATAGTCATAGATTATCTTTCGCCACATTTGTATATAGTTTATATTTGATAATATTTTATTTTTTTAGAAAACATTTTCAACGGATTTCGAAAATTGTTAGTGGTGTGCGGCATTCTTAGATAGTTGCGCAAGCGACAAGAGAAACAAACAAATTAATTAAAAAATATTATAAAATATAAACTGGATATTTTAAACTTAAGTTGTTTGATCTAAAATAATTCATAACTTGAAATATCTAACGTCTTATAAAATATAAACTATATACAAATGTGGCGAAAGATAATCGATGACTATAGGTTGTAATATCTGAATGATTTGTTTGAAATTAAATTGATTTTTAGGGTCTAAGTAGTATGTTGCAATTTTCTCAATTTGTATGGGCGCTAAGTTATTCGGTATGAGACGTCTTTAACAATTTTCTCCTTATAGACGAAACAGATAGAAGTAAAATTAGTGGCGATCCAAAGCACTTTTTTATCGCATTAAGCGAATACGCCCTTTTTTAATGAACACTCCCTTTAAGGAATACTTATTTAAGGGAATTTTTGCTATTTCTTTGTTTTGTTTAATGCAGAGGGTAATGTATAGGGTAAAAGACGGAAATAAGGCCAAACGGTGTTTAAGCAACAAATCCAAAAACTGCATTTTTGAAAAGTCCTTGAAAAATGGAAATATAACACGAGTCACATCTTAACGTTTTTCAAAAACAAAAATCATATATTTTACTTGTTTCCTACCTTTATTTGACATCTTTTATAAACCTTCATTCAAAGCACCTGAACCCGGAAAAGGTGCCAAAAAACAAATTCAAGTTTTACTGCAGGGGCCGGAGACTATAATAATGCAGCACCTCCAAACTCATTTATAAACACTCAGGAACAGTTCGGAATTCAACAAAACTTAACCAAAAAAAAATGTTTTAAAAAATGGTAATTTGTCTCATTTGCATTTGAATTTTAAATTTTTTTTAAAATCATTTAATATAACAGTAATTTGTATTCAAGGTTATTATATGTGTGAGGGGTGGGGGATGATACGATATTCCATGCATTATTGTGGTTAAATTAACACAAGGTTCATTTTATGTAAAATTTGTAGTTTTCCTCCCAAAAAAACTAGAACAATTCAAACCTAAAAATATGAATGCTTTTAACTATTGTTTTGTAATTAAAAAAATATTTAGTGCAATTGGCTTTTGCAAATGAGAAATTCTAAATGCGAGCTATTTACAAATAAGGAAAAATTCTTGAAATTATGGATTTCTGTTAGGATTTTAAATCTCCTAAAGAATTGGCGCATTATCTTCTAAAACTGGATAAAAACGTAGAGGTAAATGTTCTGATGAGCCTTTATAGTTCTATACACACTGTCTCTTTAATACAAAATAATTTGTTTTTCTTCTAGTTTGTGTTTTCTTTTATTCTACATTTAGGACTTTTTGAACAACTTGAAAGTCATCTTTGATCTTTCATATGATCTGTGACATTTAATCGTCAACCTACTTTAACATGTTTGATTCTTGAAACAATAACTACAAAATCATCCTAGTCTTCCATTTTTGTATTGTCAATATTACCAAAGAATTTTGTTTAGAATTGAATTTTGTTAAATAAAGCAACATTTTTAAAATATAAATGAAACTCTTCATATCCATGGTTTAATATTGAAAGCACAAAAAAAGAAACATCACGTTTTGGAAATGCCAAGACTAGGAGAATTTTGTAATTGTCTCTCATTTTTTTTTTTACTTTTAGATTCTTTTTTATCGATCCCATTTCATTTTAAAAAAATTCATACTTGGTCATAAATCAATTTCTTTTACATTGTTACAATGTCCAATTTTTTAAAAACATCATCAACGAACATTTCAAGTTTGANGTCCAATTTTTTTTAAAAACATCATCAACGAACATTTCAAGTTTGAAATCTGAAATTTTGAATTTCGCGTTCAACTTCTATTTCAAAAGTGAACATTTTCTCTTTATATATGTACATTGTAAAACAATAACAAAAAAGATCACAGATTAAAAAATATTAATTTCGTGGATTTTATTATTTTATGAAAGTTGAATTTTGTTGGAGTGTAAATTTTTAAAAATTTTTAAAATTCATAAACCTTCCCATTGATTGTTGTTTAGGAATATAATAAATATCTAGACTGGAAGACGACGTATGCAATTAAATCAAACCTTTTCCCAACAATTGGAGAGGTAAAATTGTCCAAAACAATGTTAAAAATAAAACAATTTACCATAAAAGACGACTTTTGTATCCATCCCCAATATTTTCAGAAGTTATGTGAATTATGCGCAAGAGTACATAAACAAGAAAATAAAGTTTATTCAAATTTCGGAGACTGGTGGGAGAAAGATGTATGCTCGAGGTAAAAAATAATTATAAATATATTGAAGTTTTTTTCTTTAAAGACTAAATAAATTATTTAAGACTATAATTTCAAGTTGTGGATAAATTAAGGTACATGATAACAAATTTTGTTTATTTGTATGCAGGGCTAAATTGCATGAAACACATGAACCAATATTTTTTAATAACGTTTTTGAGCATCAAGTGCAGTATAAGACCAAGCACATTTCAACTTTTTCTAGCCGTTTGGTTTAGTTCCAACGGTTAACAAAAATTATGCATCTCTTAGTTTTAAAGGTAAGAACTGAACGTTCATTTTGTTAACCATATTATTTTTTTTTTTAAAGCTACCGTTAGTTAATGATCTTTATAATTTTATTAACGGCGTTAACGTTTTTTTTTTGACAATTCGTTCATAAACTGCGCAAAGTGCAAAAATATTTTTGTAACCGGTTTGTAAAATACGTGTAATTTTACCAGAAAAGAATAAAAGATGTCGTTTTTTAAAAACACATACGTTTCGTTTTCGTTTTCAACTGTAAATATTTTTCAAAAGGGGCTAATTCTTTTTGTTAAGGATATAAAAAATATTGATTTTGTTGTCCGTTAACGGAAGACTCGCTCGTTGATTTTCGAAGACATCCGTTTCCTTAACTTAACTTTGGCCAGCCCAACTTCTGTACTTTCTGAAAATTAAACATCAAAACCATTCATTATAATATATATTCATAAATACATGGAAGTTCAACTTTCATTGAAGGAAGTGTAAGCATCATTTCAATTGTACGTCTATGGAAAGATGACAATACCCGATTCACACATCTGTCGTTTTTCGAGGTTTAAACGAGTTTTCTCTCTGATAATTCAGATATGTTTTCCTGCACCAGACAGCAAGCCACTTTTCTAAAGAAACCAAAATTGAAAATAAACAATCTTTAAAATTATTAACATTTATTTTAAATTCATATTTAATCAGACAAAGCTTTTAAGGGTAACATTGTGAATCGGGTCACTCGAAATTACGCTTAAAATCCCTTAAACTTAACAACCGTTATCGGTAAAGACAGATAACAAAAATTGAACTTTATTTAAAACTGTATGCGTTAAAGTCTTATGATTCCCTTTAATACATCTTTTTCCCTTCTAATATATCTTTTTCACTTCTAATACAACATTCTAAAATTATTTTAGTCATATTTACTGAGTTCGAATTTAATTTTACAATTTAGCACCAGCTTAAATTTCAAGTAATCCACCATGCAAAGATAGCAATCCCGATTTACAACGGTACCCATGAAAGCTTTGCCTGATCATGAAAAAGTGAGTTGCGCATTTATTGTTTATAAAAAGCAATGGATAAATTTACAGAAATAAACATTTTTCGAGTCAGATGACGATGGGTTTTTCCACAATTTTGATCACGATAAGGTTTTAACAGTCGGGCATTGTCACATGAAATTACGCGCACATTATACCAGCAACTAATTCTCTATCCATTACATTTAAATAGACCTTTATGCAGCAACTCAATTTTACATTTACAAAAACCCATTTGCCTAAATTTTGTTATTTTCAGTCCTACTTGGAATGAAGACGACAGCTGAGTGGAAGCAAATATTTTTGGATACAATTTGAATATTAGATGAGTCACAAAGAATGTAAACATTTGTTTTATAGAAATGTTGTTATTAATTATTTTTCAGCTATTTAGGCAATGAGATATATACAGACAACTTAGTGTTATAAATCGTCTTGGAAGGTTTTTCTTCTTATTTTACATATATCATAGCCTCTTAGGACAAAAGCAATAAGCAAACCTAAAATAATTATGTTGAAACGATAGTTATGGTTAGTTTTGCCATTTTTTTAAAAAGAAGTGACTGGCTATGTAAGGTAGTTGAACTGAGTATGCAGTGTTGTAGAAAGCTTCTTTTGGATTCATTTGAGACATATAAAACTTTTTAATGACAACATAAAATGTAAAAAAAAATCTACAGTAAACTAATTAATTTCTATTTTCTCATTATTCACTAAGATTTTCTGCAGATTTTCTGGAATTATTATTGAAAAGACGACATTTGAAGAATTTGTAGAAATCTGCAAACGAATTCAAAGAAAATAAGAAATTCAATATAATGATGAAAACGAAATAATTGATTCTAGCATTGATTTTTTAACACATTTCTTTTGAGAAATATGTTCCTTACCATCTAATAAGATTACTGTATAATTTTTACTTTATTTTTTGTCGTTGTTATTTAATATTTAAAAAAAACCGATTCTGAAAACTTATCCACCTCCAAAGTAGGAGTTTTGAACGTCGAATTTGCACTCAAACTCAGGATTTTCAGATCTTTAAAAAAGTTTTATGTGTCTCAAATGTATCCTAAATAAGCTTTCCACAACACTGAATACTCAGTTCAGCTACCTTACATAGCCGGTCTGTCCCTTTATTACAAATATAGCAAAGTTTAACCTGAGAACAGTTTTTAAGTGATGGCAAGTTTTATTAAAAGTATTTTTTTTAACAAACCAAAGCGTTTCACAACCTAATATGTTCAAACCTAAGGGTTGTTAATACGTATATCCTTTATAAGAATAAGCTTTTAAAAAAATTCCTTCTTTAAAATGTTCTTAATCACTGCTGCCATCATTCTGTATATAAGATGCAACAATAATATGTCTGCTAGTTACAATTTGCTCATTCTGAGCCTCTGTTCCAGTAGAAAAAATCCTACTTCTTGTGAATCTTATTTTACAACAGAATCTTAATTTAATGCACTCTAAAGACTATTGTTATGCACCTAGGGTTGTTAATCGTTTTTGAAAATGATCGTTTCGTTTTCGGAAAAACAATCCCTTTTAAAAACGACCCATTAATATTAAACTTTTAGAAAACGAATAACAATTTTAAAAAAACTATTTGCGACCGTTTTTTATATAATTATTTTTTTTAAATTATCGCTTTTGAATAAACGATCGTTTTTGAAAAAAAAATTTTATTGACAATATATGCTAACGATCGTTAGAGAAGGGTTGTCGTTAACAACCTTTAACAAAGGGTTGTTGTTAACGATCGTTAACAAAATGACAAACTTTATAAAAGGTTATTTTTGGAAAAATTATCGTTTTTGAAAAAAATTACATGCAGTACTTTACATTTCGTCTTACAAGAAGTTAAACAGTTGTGGGGGATCTAAAACTTCTTGATGTTTTCTTAAAACTACTTAATGATAAGTACATATGCCCTTCAGGTCGGTTTCCTCTCTTCGTTAAGGGTCATCGTTAATGATTGTTAACAAAACGAGTTTTATTAACGATCGTTTTAAAAACAGCCATTTTTAAAAAATGAACTTTTTAAAAAAAAATATGCACCATCATCATTTAAGGATAACAAACCTGTTCCAAGAACAGTCAAATTGAAGTTCATCCTATCAATGATTTAATTACTCATAGAGTTCGAAATGACTTTCTTGCTAAATTTGCATTTTACTCCTTCCCTGATTGTTGGAACTCTCTAGGATGTTACTTTTCAGTTATTAAGCAATAAGAATGTTTTCAAATACTATATTAAAACAGCACATTTTAAAAAGATAATTTTGTTTGTGATAAACTTTTTTGCCAGAGCTGTTCTATTCACTAAATCTAAACGGTTTAAAAAAATTGTGATCAATTGTTCATATTTACCCTTCTATCTTCTGGAATTTTTTGAATTGTGATCAATTGTCCTTATCCACCCATATATCTTCTGGAATTTTTTGAATTGTGATCAATTGTTCTTATCCATCTGTATATCTTCTGGAATTTTTTTAATTGTGATCAATGGTTTTTATTCACCCTTATATCTTCTGGAATTTGTTGAGTAAATATTGGAGATTGTAAAGGGTGTGGGGTTTATTGATATATTAATATCATATTTGCTTATTTATTTAGCTTTCCAGTTAATGAGTTAATGATATATTCTGAACTGATAAATTGAAGTATGTACGATTACATATTCATTGGATTTTAGTTTTCCCTGATTAATTAATATTTTTAGTTGAAGCTAAGAGGTCCCTGTTCTCCCCTATCAAATCCACCTTCCCTGCCAAAACCATTCACCACCAGAATACCAGAATGTTTTTTCTTATCTTTTTTTAGAGCAACAGGGGAGCTGATACGAAAACAGCTACAGCTATATATAGCAGTTCTCCAGATGAAAAACATAAACTAATTAATCTACCCTTGTAATAATGACCTATCTCATTTAATGTTATGTTTTTGTCTTAATAAAAAAAATTTGATTTTGATTTGATTTGATTCATCATCAAACTGGAAATAGTAATTACAGAGTTCCCATAGAATTTGTATTTTCAAATGCCTACCTTTTATGTGTTATCACAAATATTTTTTTTTCAAATTCATCAATTGAAAGAGAGAAATCTGCAAGAGAGCAGGGGCGGACACAGGATTTAAGTGAGGGGGGGGGGGGCTATAATTAGGAACAAAATTAAAGGATTAGGACAGGGATTTAGGAACAATAAAAAGATCGTTCAGGAATTAGGAACAAAATTAAAGGATTAGGACAAGGATTTAGGAACAATAAAAAGATAGCTCAGGAAATAGGAACAAAATTAAAGAATTAGGACAGGGATTTAGGAACAATAAAAAGATTGTTCAGGAATAAGGAACAAAAATATAGGATTAGGACAGGGATTTCAGGTGGGTCGGACACAGTATTAGGAACAGGAACAATAATAGGAACATTAGCAATTTAAGAACAAAAAGAAATTACTAGTTTCTTACAAATTTCTAATTCTAAATTTATCATTAACAATAACATTTACTTGTTGTCGTTGATTTTTAAATTAAACTGAAGAAAAGACTCAAGATGTGCAGTGTGCCAATAAAACAAAACACAATGTCTGTCATTGTATACTTACATCGTTGGTCATAAACTTATATTTATTTTTAACAAGTGTAGTATTCTCGCACTACTAACTTAGCAATAAAATATGCAACTTAAATTGTTACTTTGATGAGATTTTACTTCAAGTAGTTTTACTTGTCTTATCAATCATCTATGCAACCTGATGACATTGCAGATCGGGTTAGTCCTATCACTCGGGCCTAACTCCTCATGCGCTGTCTATATCTTTGCAACCTGGCATTACTATACTTCAGCTATCTCCATATATAGAGTAAGCCTTATATATCTGAATGCACTTGCAAATCTAAACACCCAAGTAATAAAGTCATTCTTACAACATAGATACGTTTATTAATACATTTAATAATACATTTATAAATGCATACATAAATCACATAAGAATAATAATAGCATAACATTAGCTTTAGATCCCTTGGTATTCTTAAGGTCTCCTAGCTCTATGTTTAAGCGCTATCTCAGTTAGGACACCGAGTCTAGCGTGCATAACGGAGATGGCATTCAATCCATCTACTAGTCTTATATCTGTATTATTATAGGTTCCCTGGTCAACTCGTTCCTGTATGATCCGGAGCAAGTCCCATACTTGGTTATCAATCCTGTCCTTTAACCCTTTCCTGGTCGGGTTGGGGAACAGCCTGAACTCCTGCTCTGTAGCCTTCCCTGTGTCCCATATATCAACTTTAGGGACAACAGTATGCTGTTGTGAGCTAGTGTCCCTAAGGGACAATACATTCCTTAGCCCCTGGTTCAATCTTTATAGGCTTTGGACTGCATCTTGGAGTACCCGTGTAACATCCTCCTCAACATCCTCTGAAGCATCCTCGGTCACATTCTCGTCCTCTAAAGCTGGGACAGTGATAATGGGAGGATCTGTATCCTTGCAGGGCGAGGACGCCCGGTTCCTTATCTCCTGGTTCAATCCTTGTAAGCCTTGGATTACTTCTCTATCAAGTTCCTCCAGTTCCTCAAAGACATCCTGCATATCCTGCATTGTCTTGGACAGATCCTCATCGTCATGATCCTCATCTTTGTCCTCTACAACTTCCTCAGCTACGTCTTCATCCTCTGAGGCTGGAGTAGTGATGATCGGAGTGTTCCCACTTATGAAGGGAGTGGGGTCTGCTGGATCAACTTCTCCATCTGGTTCCAGTTCCTCGATGTAGGCAGGGTTCCATACTATAACTGGAACATGGTTCATCTTCTTCTAAGTTGTTCTCGTCCAGAAAGGTTCTCTCTGTATGCTGTCTGTGCACTGTATATAGCACAGGTCCCGGGACCGCTATGTGCAAGGAGACTTGTGTCTACTCTGCAGCGGTCCGGTATGTACTGACTTCTCTGACATCCTGTTGAATTCAAGGGACTGTTCACTCATATACCGAACGATCCAGAATACAACACAAGCTAGAAAAATATTTTTTTCGTCCTCTTCTGATGATTCAATTTTTCAATAAATATTAATTATTATATTTCCATTAAATAGAAAATGATCAAATAGCTTAAAATTGAAAAACACATACGATTTATCAAATTGGGAACATTTTTTGCCTCGAAATCTCAGGGGGTGGCAAATGTCCCCCCGCCACCCCCCTGTGTCCGCCCCTGCAAGAGAGGCAGACAATATTTTAGATATGTTGTTCACAAATAAAGGCCACCAATTATTTCAAAGATCGAAGATGATTTAAGTGGCGTATATAAGGTGGGTCATTGGGGTAATTTACCTTCCCCCCCTAGAATATCTTGGGGGTAATTTCCCCCTCTAAATTCTTGGGGACACAAACATGCCCGTTTAGAAACTTCATCTCCATTCTCCATGGTCCAAGCTTTTTAAAGAATAAATTCAAAATTTAATATTGTTCACTGAAAACTAATTTGTGTTGCTTTCAGTTTTTCACCACCTGATGAAGAAATAAATGATGAAAAGAAATTTCCTCTTCAAGACAGATAGGAAAGATAGAGCATGTGAACTTAATTAGTCAGAGAAAAAAGTGTCTTGAGCAATGTCAACCTGCTCTGAGTAAAAATACATTTAATTCAGAAACATCAAAATTCTGAAAGGTTGAACACAAAAGGAAGGAACAGTTTTGTTCTATGGTTTACATAGGGTTGTTTGGCAATTTATCTTTAATGTACAGTCAAATGACCCTACTACCATAGAATGGAACTTCTCATCCCTTGTATAAGAATGTTTATACCCCTGTCATCCAACAAGAAAATTAGACTGCCTTTTCAAATCAGAAATACTTACAAGGTAGTTTGGTTTTGGCTGGAAGGATTGTCTGAATATGAGTATATTAGAAGGGGTTGTGAAAACTACATTCAGTCCTGCGGTGCTCACTTCAATATGGCAATATGCTTTAGTTATTGCCATTTAAAATAAATATGCAATAATATCTTTTGTTTAGTTTGTATGCCAATCTTTTAGGATGCTTTTAGGATTACCCAAATATTTTATTTCGGGCAGATTCTTCAGGAAGCATCAAAAAAGTTCTCTGAAAAAAGTTTTTGGAAATTAAGTCCTGAACCTTGGCACTTAATAAGTTCTAGAAATAAAAAATCTTTGGAAATAAAGTCTTACCATTTTGAGACTTTATTTTCTAGGGCTTTTTTTCTGGCTCCAGTATGACTTTATATAAAAAAGTTCCCAGAAAAAAGTTCTCTTATTTTGGAAAATGTATGGAAACAAAGGATGTTTATAACTATGGAAATATGAACTTGATATTAAAAACCCCCCTGGCTATATTCAATATGCAGATGGATCGAAAAAAAGTTCTTTTATGAAAACTTTCCCAAGACTTGGGATCCTTTTTTCTTCAGAACTTTAATTCCTGAGATTTTATTTCTCAAGATTTAATTAGCAGCCCCCATATTATTTTAGAAAACATAAGTCCCAGGAATCTAAAACTTAGAACTTTATTTCCAGTGACATTTTGTCCAGTACTTCTTAATTATGTACCAATATGTTTTTATTTCCAAGTTTTTTTTTCAGAAATTTTTTTTCCTGTGACTTTCTTACATAGATTCAGATTCTACGCTTTTGGACAAGTTTTTCTATTTGTTTTCTTAAGAATGAATGTCTTCCAAGCCAGGATTTCCTCTGTGATGTTGATTTTAGCTTGGACTAACTTTCTTCCTGCAAATTCCTGAAGGTAAGGTTTTCTGAAGAGCAGAACTAGATACATTGTAATTAGCAGGCAGGATATCAGTGGATTCACTGGAACTTGACGCTGATCATAGATTTGCGCACTCACAAGAAATGTTATGAGAAAGCTTGATGCTACAACAGTAGAAATTACGTAAACATGATTAATCATGTTTTTCTTTGCCGCATGCTGCTCCATTTCACGTAGAACTCTATATCGCCATTTTAATACTTTATATTTAAAGTTATAGTCAATGGTGGGCAATGCGAGAATTTATTTACTGCAAATAGATTCAAGTACAATATTTGGCAACGTTGAATTTTTAAACTCTCAGTACAGCTGTATTCTTACGTCACAAGAGTAAACTCAGTTTTTGTGTTCGACAATATTATAAATAATTTAGTGGCAATTTTAGAAGAAAGCATGCTTATCTTACAATGAATAAAGTGCAACTTTATGTGATCTTTATTTTCTGTTATTGCACTTATAAATTTAATCTTGGAAAATATGTCAACTGATGTTAGAAAATTTTGTTTTCCTTGTTTTATTTGATACTCGTGATATTATTGGTCCATTTCTCTGTTGCCTTCTATTGTACTTGATAATCTATTTGATTCACTGTACAAAAAAATAATTCTGGAATACACTATGAACTCGGTTTTGGTCGCTAAAAACTGGTTTGGCATTTTGTTTACAAACAATCTGATAAGGCTGATGTTGAATTAATATCTAAAGTTTTGACATGAGAGGGTGTTAGGGGGAAAAGACTAGCTAAAAAGGCATTAAGAGGTGGGTGGGGGCTTATTCTTTTAACGTAGATCTATTTATTTATATTTTCTTTATTTGTCTATATTCCCTACTTAAAATAGAATAATTACGCAACCCATTAGCGAATTGTAAATTCAACCAAGAAGCAGCCTGAGATGAGATTTTAAAAGCTGTAACCCGAGTAAAACCCGGTCTTTGAGTCTGCTTAGACCCAAGTAAATCTCAAGTGAAGACCTGGGTTTTGGATGACACTGAGTTTACTTAAAACCAACCACCTTGGGGTTTTCTCTCTTCAAGGCTCGAGTCTTCACCAGCTGATGATCGTAAATTTGGAAAAAACTTTTATATTTGTACATTTAAAATCTGGGGAATTATTTGTAGTGTCAAATTTGATGAAAGGTATGAAATAAACATACTATGCAAATAATGTATCTATGTAAAGTTCGAATTTTCGAAATGTACATCTTCTTGTCAAAGCTGATCTACTATCAATCTGTCTGCTACAGAGAGAAAGCTTTCTAAGCAGTCTCTAATTGGTCAAATTAGAGCCAATAATGACTTGGGGTTTATCTGGGCCAAACTTTAGGTTTCACATGGGTTTAAGCTTTTAAGATATCATCTCAGAAGTCCGACCTTGTTAACCTAGTTACACCAGTTAGTCAATATATGCTAAGCTTGGACAGTCCAAATTAGGAAGGCCAAGGTAGGCCCAACTCAGATACAAATGTACAGCATTTGCATGAAATAAGTAGAATCTTTTCTTATGGTTATTTAATGGTTTCCTGTGATTGTGATGTTGGTATAGATGGTACCCGTTGTAACCATATGAACTTACTGAAGTCATGATGGCAAATATAGAGCTTCCTGACAAAGCAATGAAGTGTGGGCTTACCATGTCAGTTACCTCCAATCCAGTAAAATAAGAGACTTGGGTAGTTAAGATGCCTAAATAGAAAATCATTTTTACTGTTGGTTTACTCCAAAACAGGGCGGATTTTAAAATCTTGACACCATTTCAACAGCTGTAAAATAGTAATAGGCAGTAATCTCATTGGTTTTTTAAAACTTTCAAAGTTTTGGGACTTCTAAAGATTTCACATAAACCCGAGAACTTTTTTAAATCTTAAAATTTTTTATTCAGAACATTTATTTTCCAAATTTTAATTCTGAGAATATATGGAAATTTGGAAAACAAACCCAAAAATGATTGTTGTGAAACGACAGGTTTTTGCTTGGGTTTTCCACATAGTTTCTACTTTTTACATAATTTTTATACAAGTAAAGTTTTACAGAACACAGTTTTGAATTGTTGGAACCTTAACAGATTTTCATATTTCTTTTTAAGCCTCTAAAACCTTAAATGTTAATAAAAAAGTTACTAGCTGAAAACAAACCGTTATTGAAGACAACTACTGCAGGAAAGCATGTAAGAAGAAGGCAGAATAAGAGCAAGATCTTGATTATCCGTTGGGACAGGATTTCAGGTGCGTACATCATCATATTCTCAAACTTAATAAAATTTGATTGTTGTATGCTGCTATATTGACGCTGAAAATTCTTTCACAAAATATCACTCAATTAATTGTACATGCCCAATTTTTAAATTTCCCCAAAGAAAGAGAAGGATATTATAACATTGATCAAATGGGTTGGAAAAAAAATGTTTTAACAACTTCAACCCTCTGAAAATGTGCACCAATCATTGCCCATGAATGGTTAGACAGGGGGTACATATTTTCCTGAAAAATCATCCCCCCCTTCTTCTGAAAATCTTCTTCTTTTTCTAAAAGTTCTGTGTTTTTAAGGTTTTATTTGCTGAATTGGAGAAAATAAATAATTTTCAGGGGAAAATAAATTAAAATTTTGCGTAAAAAGTAAAACAAATCAATTTTTTCCCCCAGATCTTCAAAAAACCATTTATCGGGGGGATGGGTGGGAGGGGTGTAATTCTCAAAAAAAACACCTAGTGGTTAGACTTGGTTTGGAAAAATTAAAGATTCCTACCTTTACTACCATCAGCAGTCTGGAGACTGAAACTGCTACTGAAGTCCACATGGCTAGATGAGTGCAGAAGAACACAGAACTTTCAATCAGAAATCCAATCCAGTATGGCAAGCTGATAAAAGTGCTCACTATGATTCCAAAACTCTAAAACAAAAGTGTAATAAATTTTTTTTAACAACGTCACAAAGCATACAATTATACAAAAAATATTATAACTATTATTAAAAAAAATAATACAACATTAACTATCAATTACATCAATTTTCTGCTTTTTAATTCTCAACAAGCTAAAAATTGGCAAAAAAATAATCCAATTTATATTTCTCTAGAATCAGAGAAAAATGAAATATGACTGTAGTACAAGAAAATAGGGGGGGGGGGGGTAGAATAAAACTGTTACTGGTGGTTTATTAACATAATAATTTACAAATCTCAGTGTAAACCTTGAATTGCAGACTTGCAGTATCTTAAAGGCTGCATGTAGTCTTTAACCTCCTGGAGTCAGACCATTGGCCTGGATTTAAGGTAGAACTCATGGTTTTAGTTTGGCTTGTTCATGTTTACAAAACATATTCTTATGTTCATTTCCAATTCTATACACAAGGCGATTTATTATCCGCCCTACTGCTAACATAGACTACAGGCATATTTACATGAAAGCTGTAAGCTCTTCATGCTTACATTCTCTACCATGATCTTAAAACCAATCAAGCTTGCTAAATCGGTTCAGAGATCTCACGAATAATCCTTCCCCCCCACCTTGCTCGTGAACCAGACTTAAACATTAGGAAGACCTCTACTGTGTGTGGTGGAGGTTTGGGGCTATGGTTCAATTCTATCCGCCCTCAACAACCCCTTGGTTTTTTTCTGGTTGTATTTGGCACAACCAGGTTCAAAACTACATGATACAACTAAAGCAATGTGGGTGTACTGCTACTACAGTTTCCTCAGATCCACAGGTTCTCTTTCCCTGCAATCCTTGTTGAACTCATGGCTAAAAGCTCATCTAAAGTTCTGTTCCTGAGATTTACTGTTTCTCAGAACTCGGTCTGTCCATCATAACACCATGGGGAGTTGGATTTGGATTTTCTTCATCCTCTCTTGCAGAGGGCTGGTCCTCAACTGACCCTTAATCGACTTATCCTTGGCCAAATTCTCTCCTTAGGCTGTGTGTTTTTAAGACATTGGCCTGGAAATTTCAACTCTGCGTGGAGGAAACCGTTGAATTCTATACAATCCTCAGTGTTTCTCCTCCACGTCATTTTTGTCTTCAGTTTGGGTTTTAAACCATCATGTCACGGGCGCATGATCAAGGCCTATTTACCAACTGACAATTTGGCTTTATTAGTTTTAGCACTGGTTGTGGCAACCAACCTATATCTCATCAGTACTATTGAGTACATGCTGGTTGCAATGGAATTAGGGTTTCCATTTGCAAAACTTTTACGGAATGAAACGCAAAATTTTTCTTTCCTTGAACATCAGTTTTGCATGAAAAAACAACAATTTGCGCAATACTTCCCAAAAGTCATTTCGCAAAAAATTGCCCTATTCTGCTTTTGCAAAACTCAAGTTTCGCACTATTCCACAACTAGAGTTTAGCGCAAATTACGCAAAAAAAAATGCACATAACTAAAATTTTGGTTCATGTGCAACTTTCCCAATAAATATTTCCGATTTTGCGCAAAACTCATTGCTTTTCATGCGCAAAAACAGCGCAAAAGTTCGCAAAAAAAAACAGCGCAAATTTTGCGCAAAAGATTTAACCATTTCGTGAAAACCCTAAATGGAATTAATTAAAATATTAAACTTAAAATTTTAATGTTGTTATAAAAAAGCATTACTTCTTTGTATCTTCTAGTATGATCTAAGTATGATATAAATGATTTAATATTTTCTAAGAATTTGTTGTTATTTAAGCCCAAAATCTAAAATTAACATATTTATAAAGACCACTAAAAATTGATGTAATAATATGAGTAATATATTATTTATCATGATGAAATTAAAGTTTGATTTCACCTAAATATTATTTACTAAGATGGAATTAATGTTTAATTTCACCTAAATATTATTTATTAAGATGGAATTAAAGTTTGATTTCACCTAAATATTATTTACCAAGATGGAATTAAAGTTTAATTTCACCT